TGGGGGGGCAACATTTGAGTATTCATAAGAAACAAATTGCAAACCATTTACAATGCACTAGGTTGTTAGGCTGTTATGAATTATAATTATAATATAGTTAATATTCATACTCCAATTCAGAATATTAATGAACAGAACTAACGCCCCACCTACTTAATTAACAATGTCATCCTTAAAATATCATCCCCATTTAATATGCAGATTTCGTTATTATAAGAAGCAACCATGTTGTGTATGGGAAAGCTAAACCGGATTCGGGCCGATTCCATTCAGAGTGTGGGTGAATCAGAAGCCGATATTGGTGACTTTGAGGTGTACGAAGCTCAATCCGGTGATGAAGGTGACTCGGTTATAGATGAGGAGATCGTGATTCCGGAGCCGGTACAACCATCTCAGGTATGTGCAAACAAGGATTTTATTTTTTATTTCGTAACACTCGGCAATCGACCAAGACAAGTGTTATTTAAAGCGGGAGGATAACAACACACGCTAAAAACGCAAAAGGCACATGGGTAGACGCTTGTTTGTAAACAATGACACGCTATGGGCATCTGACGCATGCGCAGGTGACGACCCCCCCGCTTTAACTTACAAGTATAAATTATTTACTTTTTATATTGCGAGATAAAATGAGCGCACTTCGTCGACTTTTTTAAAACTTTTGTTTAACTTCGGTTCACAAGCTTTGTCAGTGTTTGGTTTATGTGCGGATCTGTTTTCTCATATATGCAGGCATTCGGAGGTTATATACTGATTTTGTATACTCAGTCCCTCTAATTTCACAAGTGTGAATAATCAGTTATTTTTAAATCTGGTTTAAGTCCAGCATTATATTAATAATTATTATCAGACCATTAATCAAAGTTAGTTCAAATATTGTGACAGGAAAGGACGCAATATATTACCTTGGTCACACGCTTCGTAACTGTCTGCGCGGAGAATTCTCTTATCTTACACACTGGCATAACGACTCGGACCGTGTGTTTTCCCACTACAGGATTTACAAAAGAAAGTGTACAAGGCTTTAAAAAGAAACAACGTTACGGTACTTGAGACGTTATTGAAAATGAGGTCAAAGATCAGCCTTACATTGCTGGCTCAGAACTATCTACGTGACCTATATCACAGCGTAAGTATCCGAAGAGTTGCGAGTTGTTGAAGGACACCACCTACGGCCGGTGTTACACATTTTACCCACTCGCATGGAGTCAATGCCAATGCCAAGTAGACCAATCAGAGAGCAGTTTGTTGTCGACAGATTTGTTTTTCTTCAAATTCTGCCTCGTATATATGCCGACTCAACTTCTATTATGTCACAGAATACGATGCAACTGTACACAATATACTGTAAATAGAAATACATTTCACGTTAGCGAAGGGAATATTGTTTTTGTAAACGTTTGCAGAAGTCGCAGTCATGTGGCCGTACTCGTACAGCGCCATTTAGTTTTGTGGTCGATTGTTTGTGATGTTGCACGTTTTTTATGTCATGAAATAAAATAAAATAATATATATAACATATCATGTTTTGTAATAGGTCGTGACGGGTGCAGACTGTCCAATGTGGCTCCGGGCATTTCCAATTAAACTCAAAATGGTAAGCCACTGTAGTCTTCTGTTCATAGGGCAAATATGTAGTTTTCTTGTTATATAATGCATTCACGTATTAAAACAATCAGTGTTGTACATAATGTAATGGTGTGTCTCTGTGTATCCGCGTAGAACACATCAGGGAAGATCGATAAGACAGACAAGTCAGGCATACTGATGGCTGCCGTTGGAGATTTACTGTGCGAACTTCTACCAGAACAATTCCAGTCCAGGATAGAACTGGGTGAATTATATCAGACGAAAGCGGAGTTAGCTTCAGCCGCTAGGGGTGCGTATCCAAAACTAGTAATTTGCTTAGAAATTCTGCATCAAGATAGTATCAACATTCGTTTTACTGTAATACAGCCACAGAAGCGTTAATAATAGACCGCCGGATTCGCTAATATACATTTTACAAATGCCTCCATGGCACACTGTTTGTTATTGGCGAGGATACCGGTGCTTGCTCAAATTGAATCGAGAAAATCATCAGAGCACGACGATTAACGTTACTGTATTTACTTTATGCAGCCAGAATCCGTCATACTAAGTACTGCTGCAGTAAAGCCCCGCCGCCAATGAGAGGAATTTATGGAACGCGGGACCTTTTTCTGTGGGCTCTGCTGTCGGATCGACAACAACTAGCGACGGTCATATTCAACTATGGCTGGCATGAAAGTGACAGGCCGTCGCTCATTGGTTAGTGAAACACAGAATTTGCATTGACGTCATATGTTATCAACGAATTCACTTAAATTTGGAAAATATTTTCTCAATGTCAAGTACACAACTATTAATGTCACATAATGAAGAGTTCTGCCGCATCTTACAAATTCCAAATATAGACATTTATATTTATATTTTTCAAGGTGCTTCTTTGACGGCATGCAAACTTCTTAACAAGTTATCGGACGTGATAGAGGATATGCCTCTCACCCAGGCAAATGAACTCGATACACACGCCAGGTAATGTTGTATAATAATATTTCTCATTCATTTTATGTGTCTATGTTGTATAACATGGGTAAGAACAATTATATTAAAAAATACAAAATATATATTCATCTACACTCTTTTGTATATTGTTCTGTTTACCTTTCCAATGGCCCTCGCCACTAAATTACCAAATAAAATGCTCTGCTTATCAACAACCTTCATCAATAATTATTTTTAATATGATTTTTCCTACTCTATATGGTTGTATTGCCACGCACCATCAATTCACGCTCAGTTACACATCCAGATCAAATCTAGATTTGACATTCACATTCACTTTTTTGGCATTCCCAAATCAAATTTAAATCATTCATATAGTTCAAGTCAATTAATTCACGTGTACGATATATTGACTAAATATATTCCTTTATACTTTCGCGTTCACTCCTCGTTTACTCAATTTATATTTATTTTTTCAAGAATTTTTCATCGGAATCGCAACAGACTGCAAGAAAGTCTAGCATACATACATTGCGGCTGTTGAATTGTTACTCAAACTTCAACACTAATATTTAAATAAAGTATACTGTTACGGAGGACACCACTTCCCAACACATTCAATAACAAAAAAGTGTTCACAATTTTCAAGACGGGTAAACAAGATAAACACAAATTATTAAGTTTATATTTATATTATTCGAAATTCGGAGAATAATCGAAAATATTTTGAAAGATTTACTCATAGTCATAACAAAAATATTTATTCTTGCCAGGAAATACAAATCTATTGCCAACTACGTGACGTCAGAATGCTTCGAAGAGGACCGTCAAAAGACCCGGCAGATGGTTATACGAAACCGTCCACAGTGGGGAAACGAGAGTTTTCTGGTTGTTTCAAGTTATCTCGAGGGCAAAGAAGCGGAAAGTTTTCGCATCGTCTTGAATGATTTGTGGACTGGGAATCTAGCAGCAGACATTAAATGGCTGACTTTCAAGGTGAGATTAAATGCAAGGATGTTACGCTCACGAGAGATTTCGTACAATCGAAACGTGATCCCGTATGCACGCCATTTAATTATATACATGTTTTAACATGAGTCATTGTCAAACACGAAGACAAGTATGACACAACTACAAAATATATCTGTGACACAGTTTTAGAGAAAACATGCTTTAGGTTCAATTATGATCGAACTTTTTTATGCGAGCAAAGATATTAGGTGTAAATTGAGATTCTGGACATTGTATAACACAGACATTATGGCGAAGTAATACCGGTACTTTGTTAACCAAGGGTGACTTTTAACTGAAATACAATTGTCAGAAAATTTAATAATGTGATTTCGAGAATACAATGGATATTTTAATCTAACATTTTTTTCTCTGACTCTTTCTATATTTCTATTTCACTTTGGTCGTTTCTTACAATGACAGCTGCTTCTGGCTATCGTGCCACTGTTTGTGGTCGTGTTGGATGTACCTGACGCCAAGTGGTATAACTATCCTGCAAGGTGGAAGGCCTACTACACGGCGCCTGCAACCAAGTGTCTGTTAAACGTGGTAAGTGTGTGTGTAGTGCAGCACAATTCAGAAATTATTGCTGAATGAAAATAAACGACGTGAAATATAGCGATGGAATACGAATCTGCTATCTGCTCGACCCGATATCCGTGACGCTCTCACGCGCATAAAGGGAGGAAGGGACAAAGACAACACGCAACACAATATTGCACCAACATAGATTTTGTTGGTTGTTTAACGTTCATGTTTAGTGAATCGAACTTTAATTGATATTTTAACCAGATATCGAGTTACATAAAATTTGAATAGAGATTTGCGTAAAACATGTGAATCCAAATTGTTTGTGGATTTCTTAGAGTGGTTAGTTTATAAGGGTAACCACGCAATGTATAACTGTCACTGGAATCTAATGCACTTCCCTCAAGCACAATAATTTGAAAACATTTTTCGAACCCTTCCAATATTATGAATTGGAAACCGCTGAGAAGGGAATTTACAACACTACATATATATAATATAATGTTTCCACGTGCTAGGGGGCTTTTTGGGAGAGTGACAATACCATGTATTATCAAAATATTTCCGTCGGGTATAATAAGCCTATTCTAAGTCACACAAATAACCACAATATACCACCCGATGGTCTGGGTGAACTATTACTACGGGTGATTAATATAATGTGCTCACTCTCATGAAAGCGTCACGGTAATCTTGTCTTTCATTTACATAATCCTGAGAATTTCATCGCTGTTCATCATTGTTGCGAATGTTTCTAGCATATATTCATTGTTTTCTTTTCATTTAAATCCAGATTGTCTACGTGATTCACCTGTTTATCTTTTGCCATTTTCTGTTGACTGATTTCCACCACGTCGATAACTGGTTGGATATCAGTATTTGGGAACAAATGGTAATTATCTGGGTATTTGGAATGGTGCTGGAGGAAATCAGACAGGTAAAAATAAAATAAAATAAAAAACGTTGCAAGAAAACATCATACTATGCAATGCTAGTATATAGTTTCAATCGTTAAAGGGCGGTGGTCGTCGCGCCGCGTCTTGTTTGATGTGGGACTCATAGCGACGTACACAACGTGTGTGAAATACATTGTGAAACACAATTGCCAAACCCGCGCTACACTGAGACCACCACCCTTTAATTCTCAATATTTGACCCTCAAGGTGTCAGTTTGTATAACTGAGTAAACCCAATTAAATATGATAAGTGATTAAAGCGAGTGGTCCTCGCGCCGCGTCTTGTTCGATCTAGGACTCATAGCGACGCACACAACCCGTGTAATATACATACACATACAATTTGAACACGCGCTGCGTGACGACCGCCGTCTTTTAAATATGTCTTCAAACAATATTAGACTGACATAATAACTTCACAGTGAAATAAAAGAGCATACATTACATAACAAAATGCAATGTTTTTTGACTAGTTGACAGAATTCGGTGCCATCGGACCGCTTCAAATACTCGTGAAGGTGGTCGACTATTACATGTCTAACTGGAACACCATCGACTGGCTGATGATGTGGTCGTTTCACATTGGTTTAGTGCTTCGATTTACAGTCAGCGAAGATCACTTCTTTGTTGCTCGGATATTTTACATTGTATCGATGATCCTGATGTTTTGTCGTCTTTTACAATTTGCTACTCTGTGGGAGTATTTGGGACCAAAGGTCAGCATGATCAGGCTAATGATGGTAAGTCATATACATAATATGGCGGTTCAAATCCGGCGCTAAACACCGTTATCATCCCAAATTGGACATTCCAATCAATATAACTATGTTGACAAAAAGGAAAGCTGTTCATAAATACCGTCATTGTGCATCGAAACCGTGGAAATCGAATGATGGGATTTGGTGGTACGTACCAAATAGTAGTTACAGGATTTAGTGGTAACTACAAAAATATGGTGTTAGGATTGGGTGGTATGTACCAAATAATGGTGTTAATACTTGGCAGTACGTGCCTAATAGTGGTGTCAGGATTTAGTGGTACGTACAATGGTAGTAATGTTAATACTTGGTGATACGTACCAAATAATGGTGTTAGGATCGGGTGGTACGTACCAAATAGTGGTGTTAATACTTGGTGGTACGTGCCAAATAGTGGTGTTGATATTTGGTGGTATGTAACACATATTGGTGTCAGGATTTGGCGGTGCGTACCAAATTATGCTGTTAGGCTTGGGCGGTATGTACCAAATGATGGTGTTAGGATTTGGCAGTAGGTACCAATAGTGGTGTTAATATTTTGTGGTACGTACGAAATAGTGGTGTGAGGATTTAGCAGTAAGTACCAAATAGTGGTGTCAGGATATGGCGGTACGTACTAAATACTGATGTCAGGATTTAGTGGTACGTACGAAATAATGGTGTTAAGATTGGTGGTACGTATCAAATAATGGTGTCAGGACATATAACTATTTTATTGTGTATAACACGAATAGGTATGAATTAGGGTGAGCAAGATGGTCGATTTGATAATGTGCCTGTAATTTAATGTCGAATAATTCACTATTGATTCTCGTCTCATATGTAACAGTAACAATCGTTTCATTTTCACACAGACACGTGATTTACCGCCGTTTTTGATAGTTTTCTTCGTATTTTTCCTGAGTTTTGGAGTGGCGTACCATGCATTGCTGTACCCTAACGATATCTTGTCTTGGACGATGGTTGCTGAGGTACTTGCAATGCCATATTGGCAGCTTTACGGAGAGCTACAATTGGAACAGATAGAAGGAAGTAAGTTGAATTCGCGCACAATGCCGTATTTTTTGGTTTCGCTGTCATGGGATTATTTTGCCAAGGACGGCGTGCGAATCTAATCTGCCATCACATCGTCTTTACATGTGACTCATGTTCTATATCGCGAAATTCTGATTAAATTGCGTTGAATTTATGCCTAGAATGTATTTCTTCAAAGTGACAAAACAATGCAAAATGTTGACTGAAAAAACAAAAACAAATACGCATATTTAAACACGGCGACACAGTATGATGTTGAAAATCCGACCTCAGTGGTTCGTGTTTTGCACCCATGTTGATGACACCCCAATTACTGTCCAATTACAGCCGACCCCTCGTGTACCCTAAACGCCACAATACATGCAAGCCAATCCGGACATTCCAAGGTGTCCAGAGACGGAGAAATACCCATGGTTGGTACCCACATTGGTCGGATTGTATATGATAGTATCCAATATACTGCTATTGAATTTACTCATTGCTGTTTTCAAGTAAGTATAACTCTGAAAACGACAACGACGAGACAA